GGTGCTGCCGCTCTTGCCGCTCCGCGACACTGGAGGGCCGAGCGTCCCAGCAGCACTGTCTGTGTCAACCCGAGCGGCGGCTCTTTCCCCTCCCCGCAGCCGACGAGCGCTAATGAGCCACTGGTCTGATTCACTCCTACCAGGGGCCGGGGGCGTGGCCATTACCTGCGGAGCCGCCGGGCCAGGGCTTTCCCCCAGATCTCGAGCTGCCCAGCTTCCTCTCTCCGCAAATGAATTTCAACATTTACTTGGAATCCTCTTACTTCCCTTTGAAGGCGCTTACCCTCAACGTTTGCTTGGGTTGCATTGTATTCTAAATACCCCAGACCGCCCTGCTTCCTGCCGTGGCAGAGCAAGGGGGGTGCACACTCCTTAAGTGAAGGAAACCTAAAACTTACGAAAACATCGTGCAGTTCTTCAGCTCTAACTCGCGGTTACGGAATACACAAAATTTACGTGGAAAGAGCAAGCTAAATTGTTCTTGCATCTAATGTAATACAAGGTAGCTGTCTCGTGCTCAAAGTATTGCCTATGATCAACACAAACACCCCTCCCCAACTTGTAAAATTGCCCCCCTTCTGCCAGCTGAATACATTCACGTTTGGGAGCACAAACTTCCCTCTTTCAGCTATTCGGTAAACGGGGAAATGGGAAAAGTCATAATTTTCTAGATTTGTTGTTGTTCCTTTCCTCTCTTCCCCAAACCCACAAGCAGGCTTCTGAAGAGTGGAAGTAAAACGAGGAGCAGGAATGGTTTCACAGCGAAGGGGAATATTGAACCTATCACTGCACGCGGAAAGGGGCTGGAGACAGTAATTAGTGGGGCTTGTGCTGAGCCTGGCCGGCTCTTCCTCCAGCCCCAGCCCTCCGCTGAAGGAAGGACATCCTGTGATGATGGCATACAATGTCCTGTTTGTTTATTATTAAGAGCGTGGACCTTGCATTCCTGCTTCTCATTACAAAACAAACCAGATGCTTTACTTCCTTCAGCAAGGAATCTCTAATTCAGAGAAACAGTGACGCAAAGGTTCCATTTATAGCAAGCACCCCATTACAACTGCTGTTTAGCTCGCTGAAACACAAGTCTTCCACTTTCCTGCCGGCCTCGCCATAGGTAGGGGTGTTTTTTCTATTCATCTCTCCGTGACCTTAGTCTGCTGTCTTTTCTAGTACTGTACTTTAAATACACGTGTGCGCACACACCCACCCACCCCCACACACTCACACCTCCACTTACACACACCCAGTCCCAACCTAATGATACCAACTTAGTCATGCAATGAAATGGACATCTGAGTTATTTGTTTACAGGAAGAAATGAAACAAAGCAAAGCAAAAGCCCAACTCAATCATAAAGATAAGTGTTTATCTTTAAATTTTCTTCCAGGAAACCTTTCTAGAATTTTCTTTGGGGAGGGGTGGGATGCAACAGATTACATGCCAGAAAGTGTCCGTGGGTCTAAAGTCCTCCCCCAGCCTCTGCAGGACAGAGCTACTAAATTCCCACTAGGGGACACGAGCAGCACACACTCCCTGCCCGAGGCGGGACCACCTGTCATTGCACACTGTGCCAGAGGGGACGCTAGCACCGAGAGGAAGCACAGCTTGTAGCTGGCACATGTGCGAGGGTTATAAAACTGAATGAACAATTCCTCAGAGCCCACAGAGGGCTCCAAGATGATAATTAAGCAAGAGAAATCCAGCCTTCTCCAGAGGGCTTATTAGCTGATGCTGAGTCAGTGCCACAATGGACAGAAAAACAACGCAGTCATGCCGGAGGCGCGTGCTGCTGCTAACCGTCTCTCCTGCAGGTTGGTTAAAGAGCATTTTCCTTCCCTTTCAGAGTCTACCTCTGTTCTTGGGCTGTATATACCACAAAAGTGCCATGACTCAACCGCGACGGAATAAAACAGACAAAATATCTGAGGCGGGGAGAGGGCTATTTTGAGCCAAATATTTGCTTTAATGATTGAAGATGCCAGTGAATGGACTCACTGTTAATTAATATCAGCCTGCGCTTACCTTCAGAGGTGGTGAAATGGGCTTGAGTCTAGGGAGGACGCAAACATCAAATACCAGTGTGGGGCTTAGCAGGCAACCCTAAAATTAGTTCCAGGTGCTCCAGCTCAGCTGGCGAAGAGTATGAGCAGAACTTTAAGGAAAGTAGATTTTGAGACAGAATGTTGGAATATAACATCCTTCAAATCTTTGATTTTTGTCTCAAAATGATAGGCAAAAAACTCCCCCAAAACAAAAAATCTCCAATCCAACTTTTGACTGATTATAGCAATCAAGATCTAGAAGTCACGTAATTTAAATAATATAATTGAAAATGAAGGACACAGAAAAGAAAGAAGGAATACAAGTAAGCAGGTTGCAAATATGAAAGCCAGATTAATGGGCCAGGGATTTAGCTCAGTGGTTCCACCGCCTGCCTTGTTGATTCCCAGTACCATAACGGGGGGGGGGCGGGACAGAAATGTATGGGCCCCTGCACTTCACCCTGCCCTTCTGGAAGGCCTGGGCGGCACACACGGAGGAGGTTAGAAAGCTGGGGGCTGCCAGCACTGGTACAGTGTGTGGAGCTCAGAGACTGCAGGTCTCACGATGTTGGTTTCTAAGTAACAACTCAGGACAGTGTCAGCAGTAATTTATTGTTTCGCTCTGTGTTCGAATACACACACACACACACACACACACACACACCCGTCAGTTATCTTTATTAATCAGCATTTCTTGAGCAGAGTTCTCTCATTCAGAGTGTTTGCAATGGCAGTAAATCATGATGATCCAAACAGCTCTGTTCTCAGAAATCCTGATCTTGTTCCTCCGATGTCATCATCACAACAGCTAAACAAGTCAGGATTACCTCAGTTTCAGCTACTGGGCCAGTTGTTGTTTTGTTTTTTTTTTAACCTTCTGTCCTAGGGTGGGTTGGGAATTGCAATGTAGGTGGCCAGATGACTAGATGGGGAACAGAACTATTGCAGAGTGAAAAGCAGTTGAGCCCCAAATCTGGAGACCTGACTCTACTTGGGGAATTTTTTTTTCCTAAGGAAAGTAAAAAACGGGATGAAATATGCTCAAGATGAAATGTGTTTTTGTTTTCTAATTCAACTCCTGCTATACCCAAACAAGGTCAATGACAGGCTAACCACATCAAGAGAGCACCCCCCACCCTCTGCTCCCTACTCCATACCCACCCACCCAACCATCACTCCCCACACCCACTTCCCACTTCCTGTAAGTTAGGCATCTTCATGCTGGTAAACATTTGGGGACCAACTGTAAGCCTGAGCCTGAAAGAGGGGCACCATGGCTTTGAAGCCCTCCCACGTCTCAAAGCCAGGCTGAGAACTAGAGGGACACTTGAGTTTTAAACTTTAACAGCCTTCTCAACTCAAATCACTGGGCTTGGCTTTTTGGCTGCCTTCCTTTTTAAAAGCCAGACAAGAAGAGCAAGTATGTGTGTATGAGTGAGAGAGAATGTATGCATGACACATGCTATGTTACAATGCAGCCCGTGTGTCATTGGTATGATATGTGTATGATATGTTTCAGTGATGTATGAACTCAATTTAAAAATAGCATAAACTTCCTTCTTATGACACACAGATCACCTCCTTGAAACTTTTCCTTTGTTTTGTTTTTAGTACCGGGGATGGAATTCAGGTCTTCCCACTTGTGAGGCAGGCAGTGGAACCACTGAGCTAAATCCCTGGCCCCCTCCTTGAAACTTTTGACAAATGTATTCAAGGCCTAAATTTTGGGATGATGATCCCAGAACACTGTGGGATATTTTGAAATGAGGTCAGTGTTTTGACTTCCTAAATAAGGGAAACAAAAATTAAGCAAACTGAACAACCACAAGGACTCTCTTCCTTCTCTAGGAATGAAGACAGGATAAGTGCTATCCAGAGACCTTTGTAAAACCCACAGCCTTTGTCCCTACACCTAAATACCTTCTGACTTTCCTTGCACATCAATGGGTTTTTATATGATTATTTACATATTTTTAAATTATCCATTTAGTTTTCTATCCACCCACTTAATAACACCAGCAATAATAATAATCATTGCCACAGCATTCATGGGGGAACAACAGTGAGTTTCCAATATGTTTTTTTCCTAAATATATTTTAATTATGATTAATATTCAGATCTAAGAGGGATCTTTGTTCCTAAAAAGCTCTGGGAAAGGAAATCATTTCTGAGCCAGGGCATTTGGTGGGGGGAAAAAAAATCTAATCTATCTAAAAGAAGGCAAAACTTGAATTCTTAAGAAGGAAGAAATGGCAACCCAGCAGGTGCACATCCTGACCCCCTCTCCTCTTCTCTCCTC